TCGTCAGCTGGTCTTACCTACATCTCAGGTTTGATGTTCATTCAGGGACTCGGACTCAGTACCTTACATTTCAAACGCCATCGCCTCATCCTCTGGACTACTGGCTTATAAAATGGGGTGAAGATTAATTCATTTGTATTTGAATCTTCCTATTGATGGACTCAGTAGCTAGGTGAACAATGCGATCGTGTTTAAACTGAAATGCATTGGGTCTGAGTCCCAACGCAAACGTCAACTCTCATTCAGATAAATCCAGCTGATGAGCCCCGAATGTAACGAAATGCGCGTTCTTTATTCCATTGATAGCCACTTTCCACCTCTGCTAATAATTCTTAAAGCGTATGGGCTAGACTGAGGTACTCCTCACAGGACGCATATTCGCTAAGCTGACTAGTCCTTTGCAATCTTAAAAATCCATAGAGAGATTCATATAACCAATGCAAATGAATTAATGATAAAGATTACTATCAAATTGTTTAAAATAATCTACAGCTTTTTAACAGAGTAATCAGTCTGAGGTGAAAGATATTTTCAAGTTGTAAAAATCGTCGAAACTTACTCCTAGAAATAACGTGCTCATTGATGTTAACTGGAACTCGAGAAACATTCTCTGATGGTAACCTATGACTATGTGATTAAGTCATCAGGTGTGATACAACCTCTATAAAGCCTTGAATTCAATCTGAAAAGATCACTACAAATGTACTGCCGAGGTTTTTAGTAATAAAACGGAAAGGCTATCAATCGCTTTCACCATCTGCGTCAAAAAATCTAATCCAGGATGTAAAATTTCCTCAAGTTAAACTATTTCCGCTTCCTAATTTAAAGATAACTTGAAATATCTTTACATAATATATAGTATTTCAACTCGTTTTTTAAACTTTTAACAGGGTTTTTTAAAATAACCAAAGAATTTTTTAAAATTTTCACAGCGTTTTTTAAATTTTTTTGAAAAAATAAAATAAGAACTACTTTTAATTAAAATCTTCTTTAGCAATCGCTTTTAAACAATTGCGACGTACGTGTCTTGAATAACCTTGTAAATCATCCCTGGTCAATTGATTTACAGAATTTAGTATTAGATTTATAAAAGATTCGTTGGATCCGCTCGCCAGAGATCTTCTTACAATGGATTTAATTTTCTAAAACGCGAATTCGATTGGGTTAAGCATGTAACTATAGGGAGACAAAAACATAACGTTTACTCCCTTTTCATCAAAAAAGTTTTTTGTGATAATTGAGTGATGAATCCTCGCATTATCAAGTATAAAAATACAATTCTTAAAAGTTGATTTTTGATTGCATTTTTCAATTAGTTGATCAAAAAACTGAATGAACTTATCTGAATTCACCGAATCAACAAATGTTTCAGCAAAGAGAACTTCATTTTCTGGTATAGCCGATATTAAACTTATATTGGTTCCACGCGTTGATGGAACTAGGGCACTTGCCGGTTTGCCTCTTGTAGATCTTCCCAAGGTTCTTCTTAAGTACAAATTAAAAGAAGATTCATCTATAAAAACTTTCATAAATATATCTTCAATGTTCATAAAATTTTGAGCATAAATTTGGCGTTTGTTTTTACTGGATTCCGAATTTATATTGACCGATGTATAAGAAATCTTTTTCAAAGTAATCTGAAGTCTATAAATAATCCTTCTTATAGATTCAAGAGAAAGGCCTATAGAAAATATGTTTTCTATTTTTTCGCGAATTTCTACCATCGTTATTAACGGGTTTAATTCTATCAATTCTTCAACAAAATTGATAATATCACCGCATATCTTCTTATTTGATGGTTTTCCTGTTTCTTTTCTTCTCAACTCGCGATTCCTTTTTATATATACAACCTTATAATATTTGTAGCGGCCTAATAGTTTACATCTGTAAGAAATGCCGCATCCTTGACGCTGTATCCATCTTCAATAACTTTTTTTTATAAGGCTTTTTCTTTTTTCATTCGAAATCAAGTTGTTTTTTCTATTTATTTCTGACATTCTAGGGATTACAAAAAATTTTCAAAAACGCTGTGGTTATTTTAAAAGAACGCTGTGAAAATTTTAAAAAATTCTTTGGTTATTTTAAAAAACCCTGTTAAAAGTTTAAAAAACGAGTTGAAATACTATAAATCAGGGAATGGTCATTATTTACATACTTTCCAACAAATTTAGCTTATTATATTGGTTACTTAGTTCTTGGTTTCGTGAAATATTTTGTAGTTTATATCTAAACTATCGAAAACTACGAAGCATTGGGCAGCCATTTCATTTCAGTAAGGTAATCCTCAGTAATGTGCATCCGCAATCCTTTGAGAGTAGAACCCAGGATTATAAGCCTCGAGACTAATATTTAGACTTCTAAATCGGCATCCAGCGGTTTGTATTTCTAAATCCAATTAATTCGCGACACTGCGCAACTACTCCTTATCGTCGTTCGTAAGTGCCTCACACCTGATATGATTGAACTCTACTGATCACTCCTTGTTAGAACTACATGATTTCCCTTGGAAATTAAGATTCCTGTACTAGAATGCAGCGGTTCAGTGCTCTCCATTTTTCAGCAGTTGTTTAACTAAAGTCAGTTGGTTTTGTAAACTGTAAAATTCTAATGTCTCTCCAAACTACCTACATTAAGCAGTGAAGCTATTTATCGCCTCCTTGTCTCCTAGATGATACCGATTTAAACTGAGCAATTACCATGAATAAATTCTTTATCTGAACATAAAAAATCTTCTGTCTTTTTATTTTTTTCTCAAAAACATCTATAACAATAGAGAGAACCTGTCAGACATTCGTTTTTATAGCAATTCCTAACATGAGACTTATTCAACATTTTCTGATACTTTGATTCTGTAGTTGATGTCAATCGATTTATATTTATTAGAAAATCAAATGGTGTTAATTAATCTTTAGAAATAAATATTTATCAGATAATATTGTTATTTTTAGTGATATTAGTAGTAGTAGTAGTAGAGGCAGCATTGATAACAGTAGTATTATTCATATAATGACATATCAAGTTTTATTTGTGAAATATTATGTAAAGTAAAAACACGAAAAAGCAAACAAAGAAAATTTACGAAACATGCAATTCAAATGAAGGAAGACTGGGAAGAACTCTCATATCACAGACTTGGTCTATAATAACCTTAACTTTGTAATCAGGTAAACATATATGCATTCTTTGTGCAAGTATCCATGTCAGTGTACTTGTCCATGTAGTGTTCATCATTAATCATTCCAATATTTGTTGATAGCATTCAATCTAAATCAAGGAAGACAGCTGATTTCTCAAACTTATCATGTTGAAAAAAAAGTATAATAAAAATTGTTAAGAAATAATTGAACATCCATCAGCTTAAATTAATGAGACCCTGAACAAAAAACAAACAACAGATTATTTGAATATGATTCAAGTTTTGTTTTTTCTGAATTGTTATTATGTTTGTCTATTTTTTTCTCTTATGTAAAATTTGTGAAATTGAGCTGTAGATTAAAGAAATTGTATATGTATATGTATATACATATATATGTATACATAATGGACAAGATGTATTTGTGATCTATGAGAGAAATAGAAACATATGTATATATATATATATATATATTGTATAAGTGTGAGTGAATAAATGAATGAATGAATTAGTTTTTTGTGTATAAAATGATATTATAAACAGGAATGAAATGCATGATAGATGACAAAATAATGTTAGAAAACTAGAAATTCATGCTCTGAATAATAAAACTTTTTATCTTTTCTTGTAGAAAAAAACAAAAAAACAAAGCAACAAACAAAAAGACATTAAGAATAATTAATACATGAAGTTCAGTTTACAATAAAATTTTCAATCTATTATCATAAGAAATTGAAAGACAATGGTAATATTGAAAGTAAACAATCAAATGAGCATAATAAATAATAAAGAATTAAAATGTGAAAAGATAACAAAGAAAGTGAATACACGAGAAAAGCAAAACCGAACAAACAAACAATTAGGCACATTTCAAATTGAATCAATATCATGTTAGTGATTTATTTCACATCTTTGTTTGTGTATTATTTTTATATTAATTATTATAAGCCAACAAAAAGAAATTATGCGTATTGCTTTGTTTGTTTTCTCACCAGGTAATAAAATGATATTTCTGTGCCATATATGTGGGATATATATAGAGAGTTTCATTGATAAATCATTATATATATATATATATATATATATATATATATATATATATATATATATATATGCAAGTAAAACAATACTGATAACAATAATGAATGGTGTGGACAATGAAATTCGAAAATGAAGACTTGTATAATTTATTCGATTAAGAAAAAAATGGAAAGTGGCAATAACAGTAATAATAATAATTATTATTATTATAATAATAATAATGATAATAATAATAAAAATAACAATTAAACAAAGATGACGATCAATGAGAAAACCGGTATGTTGAACACAAGTGTGAGCATTAAAAAAAAAACAGATGATGATGAAGAAGAAAGGCAATAATAATCTTTGGTTTTAGAGAAAAGATGAGAGAGAAATAAATAATTTCATATATATAACCAATTGATAATTAATTAATTTGATTAGACTATAATTAACTGAAATAGATAACTTTTACTCTGTGTTGCAGACAAATGTGTTTGAGAAGAAAAGTGGCAAATGATCATTTCTGTTTCATTTTACCAATATATTAATCGTACAAGGTGAGAGTAGACGTGATAAATTTCAATGGAATGTGAAATGAAAATAAACTCAGTGTATAAAAAGATGATTAAATAGAGGAGTGAAAGTGATAAGGATGAAGGGCAATACACTCGGTGACATAATAACAACATTAATAATAATAATAATAATAATAATAATAATAATACTCTTACAATAGATATAAGAAGTAGAAAAGACGATAATATGCACAGGATAACAAATGAATTCATGTAATAATTTCTAGTTGAAATGCACAATATGCTGAATGAAAATATTTGTGCAGACTAGCACTTCTCTCTTAACGGAGATTTTATTTGAACACTCTTTATGTTAAAAACAATAAAGTAATAATGAGTAACTATATCTGGAAACAATAAATGAAAACGGTTGTAATAGATCAAAAGCAGTAAACAAGAATAATGACATGTGATTTTAGTAGGTGCATCTACAAAACGAATGCGTATCTGTGCATATATATAGAAATAATTAAGTGAACCGGTTGTTTTATTCATTTTACAGATTGTGCAACAAAAATAACAATATTATTATTGGCAATTATCGAGAAAAAAATGAAGGATTGAAAAACTGCTCAGAGAATCGAATTTCTATTACAAGGTCATACGATTAAGGCATGATTATAATGTGTGTTTTTTTTAAACAAAACTATAGTTACTATACATTTAATTTTCATATTCATTGACCAGTTAGATTTTTATAACAAGCTGTTGAATTATCTGATGATTTTGCATAGACAGAACTTGGAATCGACCAACCACTTGAGGATGTCATACGCGGTAGACTAATATCAGATGAACATGTTGGTGAACAAATCACACACATTTCATTTATTTTAGAATCAAGAGGTTGTTGGCTACATTTTTCCACTGATATATTACGATTGATTGATCCTTGAGCGTGTTTAGATACTGAGCATGGATTCGGGAAACGTCGACACGCTTTCTTCCATTTGCATTGATTACACCATTGATCTCTGTTTTCGATCCCGTAAACTTTACGACATTTACGAACATCGATACGTCCACTAGTAGTTAATGGTTGTAAGCCAACACGTAAAGGTACACCTACGACTGAATCTTTGTGGTCCAACCTTTTAGGTTGTGGAACAAAAGAATTACAATTAACATGAGATTTCAGTGTTTTATTCGCTTCAACATTTGTTTTCATTGAATTTTCATTTGTTGACGTGTTCAAATGAACAGTATACCCCTGTTCAAATTTTTGAGAAGTTTCCAGTTTAGAAAACTCTCCACATTTAGATTCCTGACTCCTGGGTGGGAAAAATACATGATGAACAATATCTGCACTACCACTGAGGTGTGACAAAGAAGCAGTTTGTGATTCTTTCGACTAAAATAGACAAAAAATAATACCTGGAAATATGTTATTCATTTAAATAGAAATTTTGCAAGTAGAAACAATCAAGTAATTAACTAGGTTATTGTTTTTCTTAATTAAGGAGAAATATTGTCTCCATCATCAACTGCCATGTTACTGATATTTATACTAATGACCTTAACTTAAACAAAGATGATAATTTTATTGTTACACACTGGCTGACAAAGATACACTACAAGGCATAACTTAACTCCATCTGAAGCTCTTCTAGGGTTAAGTTCGGTCTCAAACACGGATATAGGTCAATAATCCCATATCGTAGAAAACAAACTTGCTAAGTAAATTCTAACCAGAGGAAATAATTCAAACCATTTAAACTCTGCCCTGAGAGTTAGGTCTTAAATTAGAAGATTTATCATGCTTCGTAGTGAAAGCCGACGATATTTCATCCGACAACCACAGCAACAATTAATATAGGTACATGGAATATCCACACAATGAGGGAAACCGGATGAACCATTCAAATTGCTGAGGAAATGAAAAGATACAACCTAGATGTGCTTGCAACAAGAGAAACACATTGGACACAAGATGGGCAGAAAAGATTAGCTTCAGGAGAGATGTTTTTGTACTCCGGCCATGAAGAAGGGGGAAGACAATGCCTCACACACGCAAGGAGTTGCACTGATCTAGTCCAAAGAAGTCAAGAAAGCACTTATAGGATGGGGATCTAATGGACAGAGGATCATTGTAGCATTCTCTAAAACAAAGAAAGAGGAGACCACAATGAACGTCAATCAGTGTTATGAGACTACTAACAATAGTAACGAAGACGATAAGGAGCAATTCTATGAGAGGATGCAGTCAATGGTCGAGAAAAGTCCAGCAAATGATTCGACCATTCTTATGTGAGACCCACCTCTTCTATTCTATACACAGCAACAAATGTAGGTGAAGGCGGCCGATATAGCAGCAGCTGTTGCAGCATTAGACTTCACCATACATAAGGGAAACAGTAATATCCTGAAATACAACACATTGTGCATCAAACAAATCACACGATATGAAGACGCTCTGAGGGAGGTGGAAATTTTCACATGCTTGGGCAGAATCATTGATAAACAAGGGGACCTGATACATATTTGAAGGCATACATTAGCAAAGTAAGGTGAGGATTCCTATAGCGGAAGAAAATTTGAAACTCAATGCAACTTTTAGCTAATACCGAAGTCAGGATTAGAGGTAGATATCAAAATAACAAATAGTAATTGGTAACAATTGGAAAGGAGAGCTCAGAATAGAGTCGGCCAGAAGACCTCAATCGACGACCTATGCCCCATGAGGAGTGAGAGGCCTGAGGAAGTAGTAAGGTGAAATTTTGATTAGACCATGGCCACTGTAACTACCAAGTAATCCCATTACAAAATATAATTAACGCATTGGTTAACAACCCAGACAGACAGATACAACGCAAAAATTCGTACATAAGTACATCAGTTCAGGTTGCCATACCACGTCAGCACAGAGACGTAACTGTCGGTTCAAATCCAAGAGTGGTAGCGATAGTAGAATTATTAGCAGCAATGAAGAAGATTAGGGAGCAAAGATATGATTCGAAAAGTATAATTCAGTGAGATAAATTTAGAAGGAGAAAGACAGAGATTATGAGGAATTCAGAAGGTTAGATTAACAACCCACCTTAGACTATCTAATATTACTCCCTATTCCAGCCACTAATAAATTATAAAGATAAATGAACACAGAAAACTTTATCTACTGTTTGACACTAGTGAAACAATGAGTTCATAGGCATTTTCATAGAAATTTGATCTAGTCTTCATTATCAGTTAGCAAAAGCACAATTGTGAAGAGTGTGGTTTAAGTCCCCTCCGATGATTTAAAAGTTAAGGTAAATGAAACTTCTACTGATTATGTTCTCGTTTCCGAGGGTTAACGAAGCATTTCTAAACAAACTCAACCCCACGATAGTGTAGAAAGTATGCACATGTTCAAACAAGAAGAAACACAACACTTGACTGAAAAGCATGAAAGTGTGGAATTAAAACCATACCTGGAGGTGATCATGTATTGATAGAATATCCGGACTAGAAACGTCACATACGATATGTAGTAATTAAGTAAGAGCAATAATAACTCACATGGTCAGGACAACTTTCAGGAAAATATGAATCAGATTCTGAAGTACGTGAAAATATATTATGAATCCCGCCTTGTGAATCAATGCATAAATTATGTGTTGGGCTGTCCACCAGTGATCCAGGACTTAAACTATCGGTAGATCCAACACAAGACAGGCGTTTACGTACAGGAACTGCATATCCAGCAGTTGATTGTTCTTGATCTTCATGCAGTACTGACGAATGAGTTCTGGAGATTGGATCGACACCATAATAAACTATACCAGTTTTCGGTGTTGAAGGCACAGCGGAAGGTGAATACATGATAGAACTTAAAGCTTGTTTTAATCCATCTAATAGCATGCTTCTTTGACAATCTTGATTACATTCAGTACGACTATGAGCCAATATGGAAGACAATAATTGAAAACTCACTGAACCACGTTCGTTAATTAACGATGGAAGAATTTGTTGAGCATAAACAAGAGGATTTGATGAAGACTCAGAACTGGTGAAAATCTAAGGCAAATTTTAAGAGAAAAAAACTACAGAAATAACTAATAAACATGTGCTTATGAATTATAGGGAATACAGCATAGTGCTTATTCAAACTTCAGAATGAATAAAATCACAGCAAGTCAAACTTATTGATGGTAATCAACAGAGTAGGATTGTAATCTGAGAACCCATGAGTCAGAATCAGTGACAACACTGACTGATTAGATTTAATGAACGCTTTTTAAAACAATTTAGTTAAGTCTGTTAAAACCAATCAGACAAAACTAAGAATAAAACAAAAATACAATGTTAGAAAAAGTGACATGTGAAGAACAATGATTATATATTTAAAGACCAAACTATCCAGTTCAGAAAACAAAATTCCATAATCGATTATATTGAGCGGTGTGTGTTACCAACCGCGAATTTCAACTATTTCTGTAATCGTAACCGATAAATAAGACTACACTAAAACTAAATGGACTAGTATGCAATACAACTCAATGGATTGGTACTATATTACACCAGTTTTACAATATGCAACGAAATTGTATTTTAGCAAGTTAACTCAAATTAACAACTTCATCTACTGATTATATTAAGCTCAACTATAAACAATGCTTATTAGATGGATCCATCACTGTTGACACAATCAAATACTTGAGGGCTCCGATAGTAACCCTACTCTTACATTCTAGTGGTCGAACACTTGAGAGAGAAGAAGATATCTAATTGATATGAAGTAAAATTGAAAAACTTCAGCTACAGTTTAAGTATCTCGTACTAGATATTAATAAAGTAAATAGAACTATTAGGTGAGAGACAAAAAAGAGTTTTGTAAATTATCTTTGAGTGGAATAATGTATAAAGAATTAATTTCCAGTGATCAGATGGTTAATGATATTTTAATTGGATAATACTGAGACTAGATGATAAACCATAAAGTGAGTAATAAAAATAATTCAGATTGCGTGAGTTGGAATCATATAATGAACCCAATGTATTTTTTGTCGAATCAAGTAGAAGTTAGGAGAGGTTGATTAACACTAAAATTGATATGATAATAGCAAATTTACAAGTATTTTTTCATTATTTCAAACAATATAATTGTCATGGAAAAGCTTGTGTGATAACTCTTAATATTACATACTACATGACATTATTAAGAATAGGTAAAGCAAAATAGACATATGTACTGCTTCAATGAGAGATACACAAAATAATAACCCCTATTCACTGTATTAAGAAATATTAGGCTTGAAGTTCAATGATATTAAAATCCCCAACAAAAAAAAGAGCAGAAATGTTTGATTTTCTAATTATTATCTGTTAACATCAATGATTAATGATAAACTTACATCACTTTTAGAATCCAACGGTAAATGGATAACACTGGGTGAAATATTCGAAGTATTTTCATAAACTGGATCAAGGTGAGACGAATTTATGTTATTTGGATCACAGAGGGACATTTTATCATCGATAAATTCTAGTGAGTTTTGTTTGTCAAAATTAAGAAACAATTTTGAGCATTGTGATGTCTCTTCCTGTTGCTGCTGCTGCTGTTGCTGTGGTTCACTAATCATGAAACTAGTTGGCTGGAAATGTGAAACAACAGCTTCACTATTTGACTTTGAGCATACACAACTATTACTAGAAGATGGTGAAGGCATGTTAGTTTCTGAATTTGTTTCAATTGCTGCAAAATGAACCTGTTCAAAAGATGATGGAGAATACATTGACAATTGAGGTCGATCATCAGAGCAATCTTGAAAATAATCCCCTTCAACTGTATTTGATGATGTTAACAAAGTTTTCATAGTTTCTTTGAGTTCATTGATGTTAACCTTCTCCCAAGTGGTAGCTGAGAGTAATAAGTAAGAGAAGAATTGAGACAGATTGTTACTTCTAACAAGTAGAGAGATAACTAATGAACAATAAAAACGATTATGGTTTTAATCTAGTACAATGTAGCATTTACTTAACAGTAGATACATTGGTAAAGACAACAAATTGTAACCGAAAGTTGTCAATTACTGTTTGAATTTTAATCTAAACATTACGGTTGGCCACAAAAATAAGTATAAAAACTGAAAGCAGCTAGAGTACAAACTCACTGCGAGCAACTAATATGAGATAAAAAGTCAAAAAGTCAATCAACAACGGTTGAGATTTATTGGAGAGATCAGACTTGGAAAAACGATCATCCAGAATACAACTGAATATGAGTCACATAACCTTTGAGAACAAGCAATTAAAACGTTATATAGAATATACTGAGGATCAGTTCAATCAACCTACAAATATTTCCCCAACTCTCTACAGTTCCGATGGGAAATGAATACAAAAAACTACCTTTTATGAAAATTGGGGGCTATAACGAATATATAATTGTTTCGAGTTGTTGAAATGCAAGGTATTGCTCAGGATTTTGCCTTTTCTAGCATTCAATCAAAGTAGAGGTTGAAACATTGGTTAAGTTGACTAAACAAAGGTTGAGATGCTCAAATCAAATTTTTTGGCTTTGATCGACAGCGAATTCAGGAACAAAAATGCTGAAATTGCAGTAGTATGGGATATAATACAACAATAATCACAGTGATTCTAATCGTTTGGAAAATGGAAAGGAATTTGAACCTATTATTAACTGTTAATAAATGCTTATAACAACCGGACAAAACCAATCAACTATTTGATGTTGAGTGTTAGTAAGCTTTCGTGAGGCTTGTCAGGTAAACCGGCATTGGATGACTTGCAAGATAATAAATCGAATACAGTCGACGTTTGAAATAAAACAGTTGAATAATATGTAACTTGTTAGGTAGTTAATACACTACACTACACATAAAAATAGGCTTAAAAATGTGTCATACAACCTAAGACTTACATTCTGATGTATTGGAAAAAGACTCAATCCAGCGCAAAACAGCTTCGACGACACAATTGATTGAGGTTTGATTTCGGAAACGGGTGGTTTCAGATGGAATGGAGGTTGGTTTCATTTCGCGAGGTGAGTCCTCATCACGTGTGCTAATGAGCTCTTTTGAAGACAACTCTGGCTGGGAAGAAAACGTATCCCAACGTTTATGAAAGTAGTTGTCTCTGTTTGAGGAACCTACTCTCTGGGTTGTCGGATGTGCTATAGGTAAGGGATCTATGAACCCACGAGAAGGGAGACTGGTGCCAAGTGTTGACTTGTGTGGGTAGGGATTATTATCGGTAAATGTCAAATGAGACGAAACATCGAAATGTCCTGCAGATTGTTTAGGGATATTTACGTCTGTTACGTCCGAGGAACCCGGAATCGGAGAAAGACCGAATGATGCTGTAGAATTTGATGGCAGACCGGAAAAAGTAGTGAGTGGTTCAAAAGATGATCCTTCATCAACAGATGCTCTAAAACAGACAGTGAATATAGAATCAATACCGGTAGGATGAAGTTAGCTAATATAAAAAACTAAACAACAACTTCTCAAAAAGCGGAGTACTTCAGACAATACGACTATGTAGTCAAGCAGGAAAGATGGAGTGTCACTAGGTTGAAGATAATCTAAGAATAGACACTACGGTAACACAAATGTTATATTTGCATATTGATCGAATTAACCTCAATTTACAAACAAATTAACAAGGGAAATCTACAATAAAAAAAATGTGATAAACTAAAACCTCACATTTGAGAAGAACGATTCGAAAGAGTCACATCATATTGTGCCTGACTATTGCTTAACTCTGTTTAATTTAATATCACCGCTAGAACTAATGCAAGATAGATTGCTGAAAGCCGAGTATGTAAACATGTTAGATTACTGAATTACATTAGATATACTAGAAATTTAAAGGTACGAACAGAATCTATAGTATCGGTGCTCATTAATTTAATTTAAGAACGGATGTATGCTGTGTGAGCCTACGATAAAGCCCAAAGATGTATTAGATTAATTTGATATCAATAAACCAATGGAACTTACGAGGATTAAAAGTTGCCATACAACAGGTAGTATTATAGAGGTTAGTGTTACCTCTGGTAACATTTACTCCAAAAGATTTGAGCATTATTCTATTGAAATAACTTTCTTAAGAGTCTAAGTTAGTGCTGAGACACGACATCAGTTTATGCAGTCACTGACCGTAATTATAAACTGGAATGTATGAAACAGTTTTGATCAGTTTAGTAAAACTAAACATAAATGATTTATAACCACGGGCAATGCGCTGACACGTTTATATGCTACATTCGAGAATCTCAACATTATTTCACTTTTCATTCATAGGACTAGCTTTCTCTCTGTGAACTATAAAATCTACGCGTAATTTCCCATTTTCTTGAACAAAGCTATAACCTTTAAGCTTTTGTTGCGTACCGTGCTAGTGTTTTTCTAGCGGCGGTGGGGCCATGTGATGAGTTGAACAAGTACATGTTGTACATGTGCCAGATCCCAGGTTGAAAACAGACCGGAATACTAATAGTATTAAATAAAAAAGTGTTACTTTAAAAATCATTCGCCACTAAAATTGATTCGGGTAAGAAAATCACTAATTTGACAAATTGTAATTACTTAGGTCTTGTGAAGACATTTAAACGATTACAAAAAGGTCAGTTAAGTTGGACACTCACCTAGATGGTACATCGATAAAGAGTGGATAAGAAAAGGAGTCCGGAACAGTGACTTCACATCTCGCCGGAAAAACTGAAATATTATGTGGATTTTGAGGAATTTCATCACATCCAATTAGGTCACTATCCCATTCGTCTTCCGTTGGTGGAGTTAAGATTGACTGCTGCGGTGTGGAAGGTAGAATATCTTCAAGACCGCGAGTGACAAGTCTGCAACCACCATCAGCTGGCTTTATGGTGAACATATTTAGTTCAGGCATACAATGAACTACTTGTCCATAACACACCGTACCACCATAACGTATCCAAACACGAGTGCCCGGCTGGGGAGTAGAGGGCCACCTCTTCAAAAAACGCTGTCCACCCTCCCCACTGTAGAAGCATCCTGATTCTCCCGAAGAAGAGGCGACCCCAAACGAATAAGAACTCTTAGCAATGCTGCTTGTACAAGCCTCAAAGCTTGAAGTGTCCTCTGCAACTGGAGGAATTGGATTCTGGTGTCTCTGCAACTTGAGGGGTGTAAGCTAATTGTAAAGAATCTAAACAGCTGGGTTGATTACAATATCTTCTGCTTTTAAGATCCAAAGTGAGGTCGATGTTAACACTGATGTTTTATATTCAGAAAAATAAAAAAATGACCTTGAGAGAACAAATCTCCCTCTGTAAACTATTATTATCATTTCACTCTTAAGAAATAAAGGCATTTAAATAAGGCTGATTGTAAACACCCTCAGTGATCGCGATGGTTGCGGAAATAAGTTTCATTGACCCACTCGTATCTTGGCTCAGAAACTACATTCAGAATAAAAAATTTCGTACCAAGGTAAATAGCGTGCACGCAAGCGGGCGAGTATCCACATCGGAAGTTTTCCAGGGGACCATTTTAGGCCTACTTCTCTTCCTAATATTAATTAACGATCTGTTAGGCTCAGTTATCTCACCGGTATTAATATACGTAGACGATGCGAAGATCTGTAGGTCCATTAGAAGTGAAGAGGATTCAGCTGAGCTTCAAAAGGACCTAACATCTTTTGAGGAATGGACAGTGAAAAACGGTTTAAAACTCAACCAACCGAAGTGTCACGTCATGTATATTCTGCCCCATATGACGCAAACTATTTACATCCTCAACGGAGGTCCGCTCCCTCATTTCTCCTCAGAGCACGATCTTGGTTTAATAACCACAGAAAGCCTCCACACGAGCCCCAATCATATAGGAGATGTAGCCAAGACAAATGCGACTCTTCACTTTGTGCGAAGACAACTTGGTGCTATCACCCCACAATTATTCCTAACATTATTTAAGACATACGCGTGTCCACACCTGCAGTTTCACAACGTCATCGCACCCCATCTGCCTAAAAGAGACATATATCTCTTGGATCGAGTACAGAGCCGAGAAACGAAATGGGTGATAGGGTTGAAGAATAAACCCTACGAAGATAGACTCAAACACGGCATTATTCCCACTGAGTTAAATTAGGATCAGAGGTGATCTGATTATGGCGTACAAAATATCAAGCACGCCAAACCATCCCAATGCGGGTTTCTTACCGATGCATCATCACAACTCCCCTCGAGGCAATCCTGAAAAAATCGCACATCAAAGAACAAATACTCAGGTTCGTGTACACCTTTTCTCATTGAGCGTCGTCGCAAATTAGAATGCTCTCCCACCCGAGGTGACCACGGCCGCTTCAGTAAACAACGTTAAGAAGAGACTTCATAATCACATACGAGTTATCATCTCCCTCAGGAACAAGTTGTGCATGACGCATATCTTGAGACCTGCTAGTTGCTATCGTTGCCATCGAATCAGATCACTCAATTTATCTATCTCCCTATTATCTCTGTTTCCTCACCTTTGCCTGCACTTCGGTCCTCTCTCACAGTCTTCACTACCAATTAACAAACTAAATTCATCTAAATATTACTTAGTTCTGGAATCTTATTCATATCAGCATTAGAACTTATCCTTACTATTCTCCACATTGCAACTAACTGATCTCCGGTCTGGTAATGTGATAGCTCCTGATAGACAGGAACCCTACTGCCCTGAAACAAACGTTTTCATTCAAATCACGGGATATACATATTCACGAACCCATGCCTACTAACTAGAATTAGGCAGTCTAGTGGCTAGACTCCCATTCATTGGATACTACCAAATACCTGGAACCGTACAGAAAGAACAAGATTCGAGAGCAAATAAATCAATTAATTTATACTAGCTCGTGAAAAAGATATTGGATTTTGAAATAGAGAAATGTCAATGAAATTATGACAGAATACTGTCTTGAATCTTCAACAGTATATTGAATCTCCTCTTGACGGACTCCTGGGAGGTTGAATGGAACACTTCAGTTGATTCCAGAATTAATTGTAAGAAGTATATGTTTTTGTCCACACTAGTGTTTCTTGTGTAGCGCCTTTAATTTTAGGGTCTTACCCTCACAGTTTGTGAGATGGAAGTTATTTCAGTATATTCGGATTATGCAGGGGTGTTTTGGATGCTAAAGTTTGTAAGAAGGATATTCATTAAATTCCTCTACTCTGACCTGAGACGTTCTTCACAAGATTTGAGTTTGATTCTTCAAACTGATTTCATTGCTCAACTTTGGATATGCTTCAGTGTGTACTCATCCATTTAGGGTGAGGAAAGAAACACTATATCCTCATACTGTGAAGCTGAGTAAAAATGTTAAATTTTAGGTGAAAAGTTATACTTTCCAACTGGTCACAATTCTGCTTCAGCCACAGAACCAGTTTTTAACATTGAGTGTAAGCCTCTCTTCAAAGTATAACATTATCAACTATGAGTAGTAACTTGGACGATACCTGCTAAGATGGGTTACTCATGAAAAACAAAAGAGTAGAGGTCCTAGACTGAACCGCGAAGAAATCATTTGGAGTATGAAGTAGCCTGAGATAAAGTAAGGTAGGGGTTTACAGACTGCACTCACTCAGGCAGGTATCCTGGATATATTAGAGGATGTCATAGACTAAACTTCATCTCTTGGTTAAAAGTGCTTCACTGTCCTTGACACTACTTCATATGGCAGAGATGATGGAGGGAACTCTATGTTTAGATGCCTAGAAGTGGTTCGTCAGCGTCGAGACTGTCTTGCTTTCCTGATATCTTAGTATTGTATGTCCTGACCGTTTTGAAAACGCATTTTTTTATTGATCATTTGCTATGACCATGCATTGTCACGCCTTTTATAACCAAACAAAATTTTTCCGTTGTTTTTCGGTGTTTCCTATCCATCGTCAACAGCGGTAGTGTATTGTGTAGTTTAAATATGATTTCTTTTGACCCATACGTTATTTCCTTTTTTTGGTGTGTTGTGAAAAGTCCTTCAGTAGGAATAGTCCCAAAATAGGTTAGTCCGAATTAAACAAGCATGTATGGCTTTTCTGTACGATGTGAAAAAACGCGTACTCTTCATATTCATCTAAGTGATAAAAGAAAATCCTACTGAGCGTTGAGAATGTGTTTTTTGTGATTAGATGTAGGTTTGGTGTTAAGAGCAAGTCTTAGGGTGAAAAACTCATTATTAAACCGCGAGAACGCCTACTTACGTGAAACCATGTTGGTCTACCTATCTTGGTTGTCATTCTCCGTTGCGAGTTGCCTTACGTGATCATGGGAATAAGATGAAGTCCGTTATCATTGTTTAAAATCATGCGCGTTCTAAGAGCTTTGTGCTGTACAATCCTTTAGGCAGGAGTTTTTTTCGAGAAGAACTTAGCTCCCACGGTTCAAAAAAACCAAATTTGGATAATGTGGTTGTATACGTAGATGATACATTCCACGAAGCGCCATCAGTAACGTAAGCGATACGAACTCCAGGCTCAAACAACGAGACAGAGTTTTAAATGCAAGTGTTGCAGTTTTAAAAAAGTCAAATTTTTATTGTACTGTGTGCTTCAAAATTATGGTAAACGGAGGTAGGAGTCGCAAGAAAATAGTCCTTGCCAAAATAGTTTTCATTTCCCTAGACTTTACAGGATTTTCTGCTTAATATGCAGTGAGTTTGACTGAACAAACAGAGTCTATCTTAAGCGGTTTGAGAACGATCCTCATTCAAATCCCAGGAGAGTAAACAACTATTTTCCTGGACTCTTCAAAAGACAGATAGGAGTTCGATTTCTTTGCAATATGTCTTGGCTGGAATCCTCAATTTCAGTGGCCTCAGTAGCCGATACTAAATGTCGAGTACTGAAGTGGAATTTCACCTGGAATATCATGACTTTAAATATCAGGGAGTTGTAGTTGTTCGAGTCGAGCAGTATGAAAATGTCTACCAAGCCAATTATTTCTGGGTCTCAACCACTGTCCCGTAATAATATCCTGTGATGATAAAAGCAAAATGTTGTAATGGCTGCTTAAATGAATCCCAGCTAAACCCTACTGCTTAGTATTATCTGACCACAATACAGTGGACAAGTCCCAAAGAATCAAAAACACGGTTGAACAGGAAAAGATTGTATTCCAAATAGATAGATTAAATGGAATAAGAAGCCAAAGGTGATGGCGAAGGCGAAGGCAAAAATAGATACAACGTTAGTTTATTTATAGCATTTACATGAGAAGCTTCTGGATAGAAATTCACGTGATCGACTGGATTAGATTTAGCCAATCAGCATTCAGCTAACAGTACGAGGATTTTCTACCCTGTTCTCCAAAAATCGATCAGGCGCTGATTGGGTAGGAAATTAGCCAATCAGCGCGTAGCAACGTAGCCAAGCTTTAATTCCATCTATGTCCCACTAAAACAAAGGCAGGATAATCCAGATGAAATAAGTATATTTTCCGGGGACTCCATGGTGCCGAAAGCATACCGATCTCGTGCCAGAGATTGATTGAGATCTCCAAGTGGCTACAATGGTGAATATTGTCAATTAACCAACCGTATTTTTTTCGCAAAAGTGAAATCACTATAGAGTCTTAATTCCAGCAACGCTGTTCCTTCACATGCAATCCCTGTTACAAGCATTCTCTGATTTGTTGCCAGATATATTAGCAGTTGTGTGCAAACATGAAATTCCAGTTGTAGATTTTATTTCGACAGTGGCTGTCCCAATTGTTTCCAATAGAAACACTCCTGTACGTTCCTCCTAGATCCAGGTCCCAGCCAAATCAAAAGGGCAAAATTCTAGGAGAAAACGTCTCTTTATTATTATAAAATGGAAATACAGAGTCTTACGGTATTTGTGTTTCTTCCAGGGTTAAAGTACTCCGCAGAGCATCCAGCACAATAGCTAGTAAGTGACACTAAGTCCAGCAGCCACCGCGTCCATCCAAAAATGTGGCGGTAGCCATATTATATCAAATTTAAACAATATATGTACAGTTCAGAAGCAAACACAAAAACTTCCATATAAGTACAAAATATAGAAAGAATAACAATATACAATGGTAAAAATCTCAAATTGGAATCAAATAAAATACCAAAAATGTCAAGAGAAAAAGTCCATCATGTCATAGCAAAAATATGTAAACATGGAGGGATTTTCCAAAACCACAAAACATTCAAAAAGAATTCTACACCAGTGCCTTGGTCAAGACAAGTGACTGATTAGCAGAGCGATAGTCAGGTCATTAATGTGACCATAGCTTACTGTAAATCATGCTTAGCTTAAATTATAGTCTTCGCTATGGGAAAGAATCTAGTTTCTACATATTTACTGCTTGTTCGCGTGCTTTTGGCAGAAGGGAAGATAAATAGCTATTTTTGGTTGCATTTCATATTCTTCAACTCAAGTCACCTTGAATCGCATATCAAGAATGCGCTGTAATTCATTTGTATTCAAGGGTTCACTCATGGAACACCTCCCTAGTATCCAGTTACAGGAGCATCAAACTATCTTTTGACAAGTTGTTTATAAATCCCAGAAATACTATAGTTAAATATATATATATATATATATATATAGGCACACAATTTCACAGAATCCCTTGATTGAGCATATGAATTACGCTTCACCATAGCCGACTCGACTAAAACTTTGGACCTGATAATTGAGAAGCTACAAGTAGTGGACTTCATGCCGAAAACATTTTTCTCATTTAAGATGATTATAAACACTGTTGAATTAGAAAGCTAGAACAACACTCAGGTTAGAAGGATTTAAATTAGGTTTTAGTGTGCTAATATTCATATGATAACTGTACATCTTATTGAATACCCTCAGTTCCAAATTCGAACACTTCTAGCTTCTGCTCAGGGCCAGCTTTCGTCCATGAGATTCCGGATATCTGTAAATGTGGAGTACATTTGGCTACAAGTTGTCACTGACGAATGAAGCAGACATTACCTCACACAAAAATCTTTGACATTAAGCAAACAGTTGGTTTAATGTTTGTAAACACTCGTATTATTATAGATTTTTTGCTGCCAAAGATATTAACTGATTTACAAGCCGTTTCAATGTTTTCATCACCTACTTCTAAATCGTGAACAGAACGGTAGTACATTACTTACCGTATCAACACACAAGATAACCCAGAAAAACTAATTTAGTGTAAATGAGATCAGAGTTGTGTATACTCAGATTAGATTTCATGGTCTGCCTGAGTAAGTCTTACACTGAAACTTTACTACGCCACTTTCTCCAAGGCCAGACGTAGGTTAAGTAATCTAGTGGAATTTTCTAGGGCCTATTGTTGAAGCCATTGAACGGAAATTTTCAAGCAAGATGTCTGTTACTAGCTCAATAAACAATGTATCAAACAACCGAAACATAATACTACCCAGCTAATACCTTTCTTTTTCCGCTAATATTGTCGTTACTCTGAGGATCAGCCAAACAAAGACAGTCAATTTATCAAGCATATCTGTGATAAATCGCTCAGCTGAAAAGGACACAGTTCAACCTTAACGTACTTTAAGAGCCTTCTAATATGTTTTAGCACTCTCGAAATACAAACTTTAACACTGGCATTTGATTCTACTTTATATTTCTCAACAAACCATTTGTGATAGTATCGCCATTGTACTACTTGAGGAGGTAATTCGCTAAGGTTAGATGAAGGAGTTTTATTCAAAGGCAAGAATGTCTATGCATACTAAGCCTTATTTTTTAACGAGTTTAACGAAAACCATGATAACTTATGAAATTCACCGAAATAACCGAGTCGACTTTGAAGTTATGTCTTAGAGAACACTATACACTGAATACTTCAAGCGTCTTAAATGTTTTTAGTTTCAAAAAGCTAGATTTTTTATTTTAGAATTAAGGTTAGTATTCGTGTTTTACCTTGTTGATTCACCATGAACTTACACTTCGCGCATCATTTAGACATTTCCAATGGATGCTTCGTTTACATATTATGTCTTTCTATACGTAGTGTCATGTTACTTTAAAAATCTATCTTCGCTCAATTTATATGCTTTCGCTCAAAATGGACTAATTGTTCCCGTTATTGACAACCAAGCAAGCTTAAAGGGCAAGTAAATCAATAAGAGTTCTTGTGTACTATCATATTTATGGAGAACAGCTTCCCGAAGTATAAAAAATCTAGAACAGTAGTTCATCTTTTCTAAATTTGAAAATATTTATTATGGTTTTTAAGTGAAAAATCGATATGTGCCACGACTTTTCGAATATCGAAAATATTCATCTCAGATTAATACTTATGTGACTTAATAGTCACAGAATACATGTTTTTCTAGTCTATAGTCTGTAGTAGCGACACCAGTTTAGGAGATTCACGATTCTTGCGTACTTGACGAGTTGGGAGTTATTTTTGCTGTTTTCCATCAACACAATGGGGGTCTATTTAATTGCACACATTGTACTTCAGGACATTCCACAGTGGTTTGTGTAGGGTAGCATCAATAACTCAATGAAATATATAGATGGATATTTTTGTGATTCTTTAGAAAGTGTTTGCTACTCTAAGAGTGCCGAATCTTCAGCATGAAATGTATTCGAAACATTGACTATCACTCAACTTATCTACTCATACACTGATATTTCATATTTTTCTAAAGGGAAGGCTTGTAAGCACTGAGTTGTTACTTCATGTAAAGCTTTTTTTGTGTTTTATTTTTCATGCTTCATTAGCAAATGTTCCTGGGATGTATATCTGTTCACAGCATTTTTCCAGGAAACCATTGTAATAACTACTCATAATCTGTCTCTTCTCCTATACAGCTAACTGCGAGCACACTGTACGGGCAATTCAATACCAGGCGGTACAGAATGGGAAACTGGCTTACGAGAAACCAACAGGCAACTCCTTATATCTAAGCAATAAAACAGTTGCAAATCCCCAGTTTTATGGAACTAATGAAGACGGAAGAATAGTGTCTGCATATATTCCACAATGTCGTCCAGACAGACCGGACTTATATATTGCTCGACAATGCAATGAGTACGACTGCTTTTGTGTCAATGTAACTACTGGGGCAACACTATTGGGTACACGCGCCAGTCCTGCTGAAGTTGGAGATTGTTCTACAGGTATTTATATTAGTAGTTTGGATTTTTTTCTTTGTGATTTCTTCAAATAAAATTCCTGAGCACCATGGAAATGAATTGGTGGTTATGTTTTAATATAGCTATGGAAAGACCAAGTAAATTTATTTGCTCCTTTGTGATCGACTCTAAACATCGTTACACGAAATTGCCAACCATTGGTTCCGATAATCATGAGGTAGTGTCGATCGAAAATGGTTTAATACAGTTGTTCGTTCCTTGATGGATCGATGTCACGTCTTAGTTTGTTTTTCCGCAACTTTATTTCAACTTACTTTCACACGCTAGAGGTGAAATATACGTGCCATTTTGTCAATAAAGAGATTATATTATACTTAACTAAATTATCAAAAATGGAATAACATGACTGTTCCTAACGTCTTATATTTTTTTAGGTTTTCTCAGTGCTTACATGTTAATTTTGTACCAAAACAGACCGAATAATCGCTGCCTGTGGTTTCTTTGCTTAATTTTTGTTATACATTTCTGTTTCAATAATGAAGTTTGTAACAACATAGTTTGGTACAATAATTTCATAAACGATACCTGACTTCAAACAATCAATTTCAACATAACCACATTTTTGATTTAAATTTTCGTGTTTTAGCTAAAAGTTTAGTAACTGTCATTAGTGTTTATAAGGGAAAACAATTTTTCTCAGTATCTATGGAACTGGATGCAGAATGTTGATTTGTTGATTGCAAATACTGAATTTAGACTCGTGATGCTGTTTACTTTTATTTAATCTTATGGGGTATTCCATTCTGTGTTTTATTTCAGCTATTTATTCAGTGTTACTTGCTTTATACTTACGAAGCATCTTACCAGCTTCTGTTGTTGGTGAATCGCGTCAAGAAAGTTCGTCTGACACTGGTGATATTAGTCATGTCCCATGGGACTCCGATACAGCCTTAAAGTTACACATAAAAAATAGTATAGAGAAAATTCTGCGTTCAGCTGTTGGTTTTCAACAAGTAATAAGTGTTACTCGCATATCTGCCATACCAGGTGTCCAGCCGCATAACAGTTCAGAATTCGCATACTATCAAGTCCAGCTAACCTCTACTGGTCACAGCTCTTTGCAAGCACCTCAGGATCTTTTGGGAAATCGCCTTCACGAAGGGTTTTTACCAGATGTTGGTGTTGTTGACCCACGTATAAGTTACGTAAAAATTATAGAACCTAAAATTCCAGGTAATAACCTCAGCTTCATGTTACATATATTTATATATATGCATCGATATCAATTTTTTTAATCAAAATCTGGTAATTGTGCTTCTACTTGTCTCTATATACAACTGTAAAAATCAATGTACTGCCTTACTGTAAATACTTAGAGCGACTATTCTAGTCACTAAAGAAAGTCATCAACCTAAGTTAAACGCTGAAAATCTAATCATTTGCCTAAATATTTGGAGTTATTTACTGAAGAATCGCTTACTAATGAATAAGACTAATCAGATGCAGCCCACGAAAATCGATTAGGTGTGAGTGGCTGGATTCTTGACCAAGGTCTGCTAATTTTCTGTTCATATATGTGGCATCTTAAATTCTGTCCACCCTCAATTTTTTACGCGATTCAAAACTGTTATCCATCTACCTAAAATTTAGTCTACAAACTACTTACGCCTGTTATCCCCCAGTGGAGTCTAGGCCGTCGCCCAGCATTCTCCAACCTACTCTGTCCTGAGTTACATAATTTACTTGCATTCTAACGCATTATTTAAATAATCTCCACGGCCTTTTACTACTAAGAATCCAAAATTAATACCTATTTGTAAATGTAACTTCTCGCTTGTAATTAGTTGCATCAAAATAGTTATTTCTTCCCAAACTTTTAAAATTAAGTCTTCTACTGCCTAGTATTCCTGGACACTTCACTCGACTGATCTCAGAATTAAAATGCAACCTAAAGAGAAATATAGATATATTTCAAAGCTAACAGCAAATTTAATCAGATATTTATGGGTTAGAAAGATTGTAGTTTATGAATGGCGTAATTGTCACTCATTGCAAACCACAATGCATTTATTACTATAATGAAGATAAACTGAAAATAAAATAACATAGTTCACTTTAAATCACTGTGGATTCCAAAATCGATCATTCGATAAATGCACACGTTTATTACCTTTATGCTGTCCTAACCCCTTCGATAAAATAGTTTTTCAAAAGATCACTCTTAAACACATTAACCTAAAAATCTTGGAAACATTGCCCTTGTATCATAAAATGACAATAAATTATGCTGAGCTTAGACATAAAGTATTAGGGAAATTTGGCAAATAGTTTGATGAGCTTCTAATTCTGTATCGACAGGTGGCTAGGATATGTGTTATATACTTCTGACCACTTCTTACTTCGATATGCGATGCTGCTTGGAGTAGTAATCAGTTGGAAGAAAGCCAGAAGCCATCAGAAAAATATGTGACATTACTTCATAAATGCACTGACAACTGTACTGAGCCATGTTTTTAGGTCCAGACTGCTAGATTCAAGTCTTCAAACAGACCTGTGTCGTCGTCATACTCTAAGTCAATAAGGGAATCTCATAGTAAAAGATCGACTTCTGATCCCTCTTGAAATGCAATGTGTTGCTGCAGGATTGGCTTGCATCGACACCTGAACTAGTGATAGGGAATGAAGTGATTGAGAATGCTGACTACTTCAGTTATCTTGGTAGTCTCATCAATGCTGATGGTCTGGTGTGTCACAAGATCTCAGCACAGATAAAGAAGGCTCGACTGGCTTTTGTCAATTTAAGTCGCTTTGCGTAGCCGAGATATCCGTCTGCTAACCAAGGGATGAGTCTACTATGCTGCATTTCGCTCCGTCCTACTCTAGGGGTGCTAAACGGCCGATAAGAACGGGAGATATTCGTAAGTTACTATTTTTCGACCGTAGGTGTCTTCGAAGCATTGCTCGTATATCCTAGGATCACTGAATAAGCGGTGTTAGTGTTAGGAACCTCGTATTTTAGTAGGTAAGGATGGAAAACCTATTGATGAAGAGGTGAGCGTTCATAATTTGGGGTGGTTGGGAAATATGTTACGCATATCCAACCACCGACTGTCTCGACTAGTGGGGTGGAAGAAAGCTAGGAGTGGCCGAACCAAAACATGGCACAAATCCATGAAGTCACTGACAACTGGATTGAGTCATGTTAGTAGGTGCAGACTACCTGGTTGTGGCCCGCGAGATAGTAATCGATGGTTAGAGACCTTGAATGACATATCTCAAAATCGTTTGCAATGGCACAGGTGCACTGATTCTTTGTGTTCTCCAAAATTGTAAGCTGAATTCCTCATGATCTTCCTCTTTCTTTTTTCTAGTCCATTTCAATGGATTATACTCTTCGAACCCTAACCTCTTTGATTACTGCTTATACTTCTACTACATCTACTACTATGGGATTCGAGTTGACATTTCAATCTCTGTGCTAATGTGGTATGGCAACTTGAAGTGATGTACGTACATATGAAGTTCTACGTTGTAGCCGGCTGACTAAGTTCAACTCCGGAAAAGTCCGACGACGAATCTTTTATCTCTAAAAGCATGTCGATGGCAAAGTTAAATAAGAATGGAGAAAGTGAACAACCTTAGTAAAACTGCTTAAAGTAATCAATTTCGATCATAGTTTGCCATAAGCTGTGACTCGATCACTAGTGCTTTAGTAGCTAGCCTAACAAGGTTAATGTACTTGTTTGAGACGCCTTTCAATGATAGACTGTCACGAAATCTCACGATCAACTGAGGAATGCAACTATGTTCCAGAAGCTGCCGAAGCGTGAATATTCGGCTGACTCATGAACTTTCAGGTTTCAAACAAGCCTGATTTTCTCGAGTTTGCTCTTCAGGATCTCTAATTAGGAGTATACGTTGTTTCAAACAGTGAACGATTTTCTTATTGCTGTAACGTAATAATATATAGAAAACCACTAGTCTCACATAGTAGATTGTGAGTTCAAACCGATGTTTCCGTTATATAGGCTTGATCAACAAGGTTGTATCACTAACTCTCACGTAGAACGTGCCACTCAACTGGAGTACACAAGCCTTTACCCAATTGCTCAGTTACATTATGATGGCTGTTATTACTACTATTGTCAATAATAATTTTTTGAAATTCCGCTGAAAATGTATTCGATTTTTTCTCATTCACATGTTTTATCAACACAGACCCAGCACCTTTAACTTCATCTCATGAATTTGAAGATTTATTGTTAAACAGACAAGTGAGTTAAAATTATGTTTAGTATGCCTTGAAAATTTTGTTTTCATAAAAATTTAACAAAGCGATTGGTTTTTTTTACATGATATTGTTGTTAACCTTTCAGTAATAAATGAGGATGCGGGGGAAAATAAACCTACCAAGTTTAAGTTGTGTGTCATTTATCGGGCTTTCATCATCCCATACTTCTGATCCAAAAGCCAATAATAATATTTGGTTATTCAAAAAGAAGTGTATGAACTAGGGTTAAAATCTACAATACTTAAACTACCGAGTCTACCATTATTTTCGATTTAATATCCTTAGGAATGAAATACCATTGCATTTTTCGTAAATTATCTCAAGTCTATCAGTCTACTAAAAGCTTAGGCTAAACGAAGCAAACCAAAATTTAACCAATTAAGTCAGTCTTTTTGTTTTGTTTTTTTTGTGTCCTCGTGTATTGTTCAATGTGGGATAAGATTGCTAAGAAAGAAATATTATATATATATATATATATATATATATATATATATATATATATATATATGCATATGCATATTTTTGTTTCTTTTTCCACAAATTGCTTTTAGGTCACTTGGTTGAAATTTGACTGAATTACATTACTAGTAATAATGCTAATAATAATAATAATGGTTTATAATCGTATTAATAAATAATAATAGTTCGTTCAATAAAACAATAATTAACATTTTGACTAAAATAGTTATTTTCTTGATTATTACTACTTTCAGCTGTCAATAAATATTTCAATTAAAGTATTGACTCGTTATTTTCTTTTTCTTTTCATACAATAATTTCATATCCTGATTTTTAGGCAATATATAAATAGAATTCAAATTAATCTGAATACTTTTTTCCATTCTATAATTATTTCAATTCTTTTTAGACTAATCTTCATCTTTCTGAAAGTGAAATAACACAACAATCTAAATCTTCTATACCTTCATCTGGACATAAAATGGTTGCAGTAAGAAGTTCAGGTAAGAATATACTTATGAATTTTTATAGTAAAGTTTGACTTCGTATAATAATAATAATCGTATATTTTTATGCTTACCTTTCCTATTATTTGATATGTATGGTATTTTAGGAAAAAGTCTTTAAAACTTGCAAGTAAATATGTATATTTGATTATTTTTTCTCCTTCAGTTTCATCACTTCGACTTTTTTTTCATGTATTTTTTCAATTTAACAGCCATTTAGATAAGTGCAGATTATTTGTTTAAGGTTCACTTGAAAATCGTAATCATCGGTTAGAGACTTTTGATGATATGGGTTAGAGTAGTCATCAATACAGAAGTTTCATTAACTCCTTGTTTTAGTTCTGATTCTGAACCCTGAAATATCATACTTTTGTCATTATATCTGATCTTTTTTTTACTACTAATTACATTTTCAGTGTATAAAGCTTAAGGAGAGTAAAATTAAAAAAACCATTGGTTATAAGGTTTTTTTCTATATGAATTCTCTGCATCGTTTTAAATATGAATTTTATCATCATGGTTTATTAACCATATTCATGCTTTTATTCAGACGATTTCTCTTCTTAGTCAGAAAGCATTCGGACACGTTTATTTTTTTTTACCTTTTTTTTTCATTTTATAACATTTTCACTTGTAGAAATAAGTGGAAATTCCTATCTTGGTTCACATGAAGCATCAAGTTTAAAATCTTTAGACCCTAAATTATCATCGTTATCATCCTCCGAAAATGTAGCACATATATTTGGACCTTTTGAACCGAATGTTCTCAGCGGTGGTGTATCAGCTGTACGTCAAACATCAATACATAGTAGATCACTTCATCAATCATGGAATTCAGGAACATCAACATCAAAGATTTTAGGTCAACCTGGTGTAATAGCTGGTAAGTAATAATTACTCATTATTGATTAGTTTGTATTACGAGATAGTATACAACTTCTCAAATCACATTACCACGGTCTATGCAATACAAAATCTCTCGTAATGTTAGGATTTTTGTTTCCTTGATTTCATTTTATCCTATAATTTAAGTACAAGATGTCGTAGTTTTAATCACTGTTGTTGAAGCCCAAAGTAACTGGGCTATATAGAGTCTGTAGAAAATTTATTGAAAAGAATATTCTTTGTCCAAATATCTGTTTTGCATATATATCATACAAAACAGAACGTTTTAATTTAGTGTATATCCAAAACCCATTATAAAAATGTCATAAGATTAACGTAAGTATTGACATTTGTGAAAATTATATGAGATAATCTCAGCGATTGGAAATTTTTAGGGGATTCCAACGTTTCGCTCAGCTATCTTGTCTAGACTTCGTCAGGGCAATAACAATCAAAATTATCAAAGAATATGTAACGTTTAATAATCAAATCAAGTTTACTCTAATTGTTTATCCAATCATACTCAGGATAAAATGAGTCAAGTGAAATGGGAAAATCCAACATTGTTAAAAATAAATGAATGTGTGCATGTGTGTGTGTGTGTGTAAATTTCTGTCATTAATAGTTGATATTCTGTGAATGAATACCAATCATTTGTTTATTGAATGTCAATGTTTATTAAATTCGAATAAGTATATAAATTGAGTTACCGATTACATATTTATGACGTATAAAATATTAAAATTAATTACTGTTTGATTAACGTTACATGTGAATTAAACAGGGCGGATTTGATTTTGACCGATTTGGTCCCGTGTGCTGTTACGGGGATGAGGGCGGTTGTCACTTCCCGGCTGCCCACACTGTGGAAGGTTGTTTCTTGAGGAACCTAAAAAGGAAATTGATTAGCGTTGGTCTTAACGACCCGGGAGCGTGACCGCAGAGCCCAAGGGACAGTCACTTAGGGCCGGTCACGCACGGCCTTTTTATGAGTTTTTAAGTGTTAGCTCCGTTCTTGTTTAAAAGCCCTTACAGCCGGAGACGGAAATCCGTGAGATAGGATGAGGTGTGACATTTTTAGGGTCGAACTCTTCTAACCCTTCCTTCCTTGTGAGAAGGCGGCATCGATGCAAATGCTGGTTATCCGAGGTAAACACCTTACTGCTGTCACACCCCTCTGCAGTTGTCAGTACGACTTCGCCCTCAGACCTTGAGTAGCTGCTTTTAGTCTGATCGTTCTCCAATTGACCTGCCTGGCATGGTAGAACCTTCAGGAACATATGTTCCAGCCAGTATAGCTCATTTGGGTCATCACGATAGGCAAGCCCTACCACGACGTCAAGGTAGCGACTTCGGTCGGGATACAGATGAGGTCCAATTACTTGTGAATGGTTACTTATTATGATATGGCTAGTTGACTACCACCTTTCCTATTTAGACTGTTTTGATTAGCCCATGTATACATCACTTCTACTATCAGTCTTTCCTTTTTGTGCTATAAGCCTTTTCTGAAGTATTTTAGTCCGTTCGACTTTGATCTTGTGTCCTGTTTCTGACTTTATTCTTCAATTCGTTGAGATCAACCAAGGTTTCGGGAACATGTTTTAAACGCTGTTTGTGTTCCTTCAACATCACATTAAACTGTTTAGATATTGCACCCACATAAACTGCATTGTAGTCCTGACAACTCATATGGTAGATAAGTTCAATTGTTCTTCCTTTAGAAGTCTATCTTTGACTTCCACTAACCTCCATCTTATGGTATTACCGGCACGAAAATAAACTCATATTATGTTTCTTTACGCCATGGTATGAAAAAAGTGTTATTCTATTTTCTCCGTATACACTCCAAGTTAGATTTTCTTTCCCTATTGACAATCTTCTTTAAAAACTCAATTGTATGATTGTTAGCCTTAGGTGTCGATAATATTGAATTCAATTCATTTTGTTGGTCTTCCTTCTCTGTAATGAGATTGTGACTCATTAATCAGATTCTTTACCACTTCGACGCTCGTAGAGTAAGCATGAGGCATTAGTAATCCAATTTCTCTCTCAGCATGCTCTTTATATTCCCAGATATTTCTTCTAAACCATTTCATTTTCCATCTACTTACTGAAACCAGACTTTAGGTGGATTTACACATTTTTTGATCTCACTGGTTTCTAAGGGTTGCATGCATAAACAACGTATCAGAAGGCATTAAATCAACCAAAGGAATAGAATTCACCTACCACAAACTATTGTTTGGTCAAAATAAGACGTAATAAGTTGAAAATTAATGTATTTCGGAAATCAACACATTCTAAGAGATACTTAGATTACTCTGTCCGTCCCATTGGAAATTCGTTAATAAAATTTCATAGTCGAATGAAATAGTACAATGTTAAATAAGTTTCATGTAGCACTTAATTGTCACATCTTTTTTATCTGCCTGGTTTTTTTGAATATTTTATAAAATTAAATTATGACATAATTTTTCTCTGTTTTTCATAATTCTCTCAATTTTTTTTTTCAACTATTCTAGGTATTGTCGGAAGTGTGGTAGTTGTTTTACTGTTATTAATTCTACTTATTCTATTCTGTATTTATCGTTTACGTAAAAAAGATGAAGGATCTTATGCTTTGGATGAACCGAAAAAATTACCTACAGTGGATACTTATACAAGAGCACCAACAAGAGAATTTTATGCTTAAAAATATAGTATAATTTAAACACTACTTCATAAGTTGTACATTGATTTACCAATCCTACACATACATACATAAATTAAACATGGAATGGTTAAACAACTCTTCTTCCAACTTATTATATATATATAAATATTGATTTTATCAATTAGGTATCTAATTATTGAATGTAAGCTAATGTGTTTCATTATCCATGATGGGTAAATGCATTTAATTTTTCTCAATATTTATATTTCCTTTTTATTTAAAAAGTGGAAGAAGAATTGTATTTTTTTTGTCTTTCTGCTGACTTTTTTGCACACAAATTATTATTACTAAGTTGATTTTTTTTTTAACTGTGTATAGTTGATCTGACGTCTGAACTCCTCCTTTTTTTTTATTAACTTTTTATTTTGAACATGAAAAAGAAAACCGACATTGGTTGGTTTTTTTTTCTCTGTATAGTCATAAACAAATGCCTGTAATCCGTTTTCTAGTACTACTTTGTCCATTCTAATAATTATTGTATATTTTCATTTTATTTCTAGTAAGTGTAATATTACAGCAGTAATAATAATAATATTATTATTATTATGTGAATGCAAAACGTGTATAAAAAAAACTTCTGAAAAATATGCATAATTAACTCACACTGCTATTATTACTGTTAGTTGTGTAGTTGTATTTCTCTTACAACTAACTGTGTTTTCTCTTTAACTAACGGCATCATGCTTGATCATTTTCAATGATACTTCACAGTGATTTACATATTTTTCGCTTGGTAAAATTTATTTCCTATCGTTTTTATAATGAAATATATAGAATAGAAATTGTAATAACAATTTAACTGATCAATGCGTTCTTGATAATCTTCAGTTTCTTTAAGTGTTTATAGTATTTAAGTGTCATTAGTCTTATTTGCGGTTGTCTTTTCTTACCACCTATTCACTTTTGTGATAATACTGAATACTTTATAATTCGTATACATTCTGTTTTATTATTAGTGGTTTTTACAACAAAACTTATTTCTTTTGAAGTTTTGCAGAAACACTGGAACTTTCGATTTGTTTTTTTTTCGGAGAGCTTTTTTAGTCTTACTCTTCTATTTTGTTTTTCCTAATTTAAGTTATACACTTTCAACTAATAACTTTTCTTCATTCAGTTTGTATTCTATTCTATTCAATTTGCTTACATATATTGGCATAGAATTAATAGTTTATTTATTGAATCAAATCTAACCTTTTGTGCATAAATCGGTAATGAGAATTCATTGCCAAATATTGTAGAATTTAACATAAATATATTGATCAAATCCAATGCCTACATCTTAAATTAGCATAGTGAAACAAGGAAATTAACAAAATTGAAACTTATGCTAGATCATAAACTAGGTGTCAAACAAAGATCATCTGATTAATAATCTCAATAATAGTCAACAATCTTCATAAAATCCTTACGCTAATCACTGAAAGCAATAAAATTATTATTCATTGTGGCGGAAGTTTGGACTTAGAAATGAAACAATTCAAAGTGAAACAAGACTAGTATCAATGGAAAAAAAAAAGTTTAAAATGATATTCAGCTTAATATTTAAAAGAAGATAATGAATAAATACATTTGCAATGACGTTTGCTTCTCATAATCACGATTATATTGTTTATCATAATCTTTAGGTTTGCATCACTCAACACAGTCCAGTTTAAAAGTCGGTGATTTATGTCATGTTTTTATTTGATTCTTGATAATTTTATTCACTTTTTAATGATGCTACAAAAGAAGTGACTGGGCATGAATGAGTAAGATATTTCTCAGTCTCATTTATCAGTTTATTATTTCTTCTTGATGTCTAGTTTTAGTGCCACTTATTCAGTGGTTCTAACGTATTTGAGAAGGGCTTTGAAGTTATCTACCATCAAATGCTACTGACCACCAACATCATATTCCTCACAGTCGTGAAGTAGAGTGAATCGCACAAACTGTATGCTTGCTCATGTTTAAACATGTATATCGCATGCAAAACAGATGGAGCGAGTTGATAAAAGCCAAATGAACATATTATACCCATGCTGATATATTTTACAGCTACCCGACCGGAAATACTGATAAAGCTTCCAATAAAAGAGAAGTGATCAATATCTCCGACAATCAACTCCTTATTGTGAGACTAGTCACACTAATTACAGGGCAGAAGTATTGTAAAGTCGTTTCATTTCAATGTTATAATATACCATCTGCTATATATTTCTGAACAATATTTGATTGTCTCTTTAAAACGTTATCTAAATTATTGATAACAACAGCATTTAGATCACTGGATCAAGTACATTTTGACGTTTTAGTAGTGGTTAATTTTCCCTAGGTCTTTGTCTCTTCAAGTTGATCCGGCACCACCAGGAATAGAATAAGAAACAATTAGATTATCAAGTCCTCCGCTCAGTGTTACTGGTCTTTAATTCATTATCATCTAATTTTAATATGGTTCTGGTAGCTACAACACTTTGCGTCATTTGGGAATTATATCTTGATTACATTCATATAGCTCTTTCTAAAAATACCAGTTCTCACGGCCTTATATAAACTTTGTGAAATAGTTTTTTATTCCTAATAGCTAATACATCTTTTAAGTATATATTTTACAGTCGATATGAATATGTAATATCTTTGTGAAAAGACCACTTTTATTAAAATTTCGACCGTGAAAATAAAAATGTCTTCCAAAATAACCAAAAAGGTTCAGTTAATATCAACTTTATGATAAAAACACTTATACTTTGTGCAACAAGACAGGACTTAAATATCACAACATTGGTAAATGTATACAAGTGAAATGAATTATTCCGATGAAAGTATATTAAATTTGTTTTTTTTTCTGTATTGCAATATTTTCACCACATAAACATAAAATATTTAAATTTCTAATCTATATTACTAGAATAAATTTGAAGTTGTATAGTTACATCGTTATTTGATAGACAATTCAAAAGAAACAAGATTGATAATCATTATCCATTATACGGGTATATAAGGTTTTAATGTAACCAGTTGTCTTTAATTAAGGACTTCGTAGACGCCCAACTTCGAGATCAACAGGCCGGATTTCGTAAGGATCGATCATGTACTGACCAAATTGATACATTAAGGATCATTATGGAACAATCAATTGAATGGAACTCACCACTCTACGTCAACTTCATCGACTACGAGAAGGCATTCGATAGCGTGGATAGGAAAACACTGTAGCGGCTTCTTCGACACTACGGGGTGCCTGAGAAAATAGTCAACATCATACGGAATTCTTATGATGGATTCAACTGCAAAATCGTACACGAAGGACAGCTGACAGACTCTTTTGAGGTAAAGACCGGTGTAAGGCAAGGTTGCTTACTCCTACCCTTTCTCTTTCTCCTGGTGATCGACTGGATTATGAAGACGTCCACGTCTGGAGGGAAGCACGGTATCAACTGGACAGTTAGGACGCAGTTCGACGATCTGGACTTCGCAGATGACTTGGCTCTTCTATCGCACACTCAACAACAAATGCAAGAGAAGACGACCAGTGTAGCAGCAGCTTCTGCAGCAGTAGGTCTCAACATACATAAAGGAAAAACCAAAATTCTCCGATGCAACACAACATGCACCAACCAAATCACTCTTGACGGAGATGCCTTGGAGGACGTTAACACCTTTACATATCTGGGCAGCATCATCGACAATCAAGGTGGATCCGATGCAGATATGAGGGAACGGATTGGCAAAGCAAGGGCTGCATTTCTACAGTTGAAAAATATCTGGAACTCCAAACAACTTTCAACTGAAACCAAAATCAGGATTTTCAATACAAATGTGAAGACAGTTTTACTGTATGGAGCGGAAACTTGGAGAACTACCAAAGCCATCATTCAGAAGATACAAGAGTTTATTAACAGCTGTCTACGCAAAATACTTCGTATTCGTTGGCCAGACACCATCAGCAACAACGAACTGTGGGAGAGAACAAACCAGATCTTACTGGAGGAGGAAATGAGGAAGAAGCGGTGGAAGTGGATAGGACACACACTACGAAAAGCACCTAACTGCGTCACGAGACAAGCCCTCACATGGAACCCTCAAGGCAAAAGGAAAAGAGGAAGGCCAAAGAATACATTACGCCGAGAAATAGAGAAAGATATGAGAGGAATGAACAAACATTGGACAGAACTGGAGAGGGAAGCCCAGGACAGAGTTGGTTGGAGAAAACTGGTGGTCGGCCTATGCTCCATTGGGGGTAACAGGCTTAAATAACTAAGTAAGTAAGTAAGTTGTCTTTAATTCTATCCGTTAACAATCAAATCAAGATAGAAGTAACAACCCAATTAGTCGAATAACTATAGTGTTTTAATATCTCTATTGCTTTGATTCAATATGAATTTTAATAAAATAAACCTATAGGATCACCCCCTCAATAGCTTAATCTAGTAGATTACAACAGACAGAACTACAGACCAAACGACTGATTATGTATTTATGAGATTATTACGTTTGTTACTTTCATGCACCATATTCAATTGAGGAATGATATAATTATGAATTATTAATCAAACAATAGACTGACTTATCTAAGATAATTGTCAATCATTATTCTTTTTTTTGAAAAGCTTGGTAAGTTCAAGAATAACATTTTCAAATTACGAGATGGTGAATAGTTCTTTTTATATTAGCTCAAGAAGATGAGAGTTCATAATATTAAACTTTCTAGTTCACAGAAAGCAATTACAACATTCTCCAATCCACTTAAATAATGTATCATTCTCAACTAATAATTCAGATTCATTTTTGAATGACTAGTTTAACATTTTTTTCAACTAGTACAAATTAAGAACAGTAATCGAATAATAAATAGTCAACCAAAATGTCAGAAAATCTTGTTTTCGAATCTAGTTTACTTCAATCATAATAATAAAATTATGTATATATATTTTTGGAGTTATTCCAATGAGTGGAAATTTGTATTTTTGATGTTTCGTGACTTAATGTAAGTGATTTCTTCAGAACAAATAAATAAATAAACATTCAAAATAAATATAATACAAGTTGAAATAGTCAAACAAAAACAAAATTGAGTTTTCTTTTAGTAACATCAAAATCGGCAATAGCAGCAGTACATACTTATTTTCACTAAATCGATATTAACAATATCAAAACAGTTTTTTTTGCAACTACTAAGAGCGATGAGTATCTCT